AATCTTTTTTTCTGAGAGCATTTTCTCTTGTGATTGAAGAGTCCTTATCATATTTCCTTTAAATTTCACGTGAAGGTTCTCTGATTTCATTTGCAACCCCATGTTCAACTTCTATATCCATGCTCAAGGTTTGCATCTGATTTATGAAGGATTTTTTCTTTAAATGGAGTAATATGAGAGTATAGGTGTATTTACATCACTATATGTACATGTCTGCCTAGTGTTTTTAGCAATATTCAATGCATGCTGCATTGTCCTTTGTTCCTTTTACAGAAAGATTCCACCTTTTGATCAGTAGATTGTTACTGTTTGTGTCCCAGCATTAATTCAGTTTTGTATTTTTCTTTGATCTCTCTCCAGCCTCTTACTTCATTGTTTTTCTAAAAAGGGTATAGACTATTTTTCTTCTGTAATAACATCTAAGATACAGCCTTGTTTTTGGATTTGTACAACTAAAAAGCTCTTTTGGGTTTTAACATTATGCAGTTCAATTAAATCAAAATATTTTGCCCCGTTGCCTTGTCTTGTTCATGTTAATTCAAAATGTGGTTGTGAATATGACTTCTATGGCCTGTCATTTTGATTGTGTCATAGTTTTGGGTGTGTTGCTTTATTTCCCATGCACTCTTAAGATTTATGGTGATTTTATGCAGTAACAGAGCTGTATGCTTGGCAAAGGGCAGATTGTTGTCCACAAGACCCTAGCAGTTGCAGTGCATGACCATGGATGATAAATTCTAATGAAAAAATCCATTCAAATGCACAGGATCACACATTGCACAAGATCCCTCAAAATGAACATGCAAAACACAGAAGCCCAGCTTCTGTACGTCATGTATAAAGATGCAGTTGAGGAAATCCCTAAGGAAAAATAGCAAGTGCTTCATTTGTGTTTTTCAACGGACCTGAATCCTGTGCTTCTTTTTTGGAGCCTATGCTTTAGTTTTCCTCTCTGCATCTCCTGCTAGAGTGGTTGTCTTCTGTTGTGACATCTCTTGAAAAGGACTAAAGTAATTGTTTCCCCTCTTAAGAAGGAAGTAGAGAACTGGAACAAAAAGGCTGATTGAGGTGTAATATAACTGGGAACAGGGTTTCAGCATTCCTTGCTTTGTAGCAGAAAACTGAAGGTACTACTGTGTCCAAAATTTGTTGCTTGTAAAATATGTCAGAGAACTCTTCTTATCTGATTGTTAAAGGTTATTCTTGGAGAGACCACAGTCTGCTCTCTTGAAGTCCAGGGTAAGGAGCTTGATGCTTGACCTCCTTGTTGCTCTGAGGCCACTCCTGTCTGTCTGTGGAGGGACTCATCTTGGTCTTCCTGATCAGGCAGCCTGTAGCAGACCCCCACTATGAAATCAGCTGTTCCTGCCATCCCTTTAATCCTGATCCATAAGCTCTAGTTCAGCTCCTCATCCATCCCCAGGCAGAGCTCCAAGCACTCCAGCTGGTCATTGACACTGCCTCCTGGTCTCTCTTGCCTGTATCCTTCCATTCGAACACTCCATAGGACTCATTCCACCATGTTTCAGTGATGCCTATAAGGTTGTAGCCCTGCAGATCTGAGTACATCTCCATTTCTTCCTATTTATTCCCCAGCTGCCTGTGTTAGCACAGAGGCATTTAAACTGGGCCCCCAGTGAAGCTTACGTGAAGCTTACTTTCTGTCTGGAGTGGCTGGAATTCCTTGATGTTCTATCAGGTGTTCTCGTTCTGACCTGCATACACTCTCTAGGTTCTGGATATCTCCCTATGAGTTGGATGGCATGTTGCCCCACAGCTTGTCACTGTTAAACCTGGTGATATCCCCCTTCCCCATCATATCTAGTTTATGATGTAGTTAATTTTATTTCTTTCTCAGGCATGATAAGAAATATGGCTAGTCCTAAAAAGGAAGTATCAATCAATGCATTTTTCAGCATTCCTTGTCTTATGTGCTCTCATGCCACACGTACATTTAAACACAGTTAAAGATATATATTTAAAATGCTGTCAACTGATTGTATATATTTTCATACATACCTAGCTTCTGAATGATAAACTGCAATTTATTCTGAAGTAATTCAGTCATTGCTTAAAATATCATGAGCCACAGATTAGTTTGCGTTTTAATGAAATTGATGTGGGATAAAATAAAGGAGGTGAGAAATCATGCTTCCATTTTGTTTATGTCTCTGAAAGTCATTAATTCAAACCAAAATGAATCATCTAATATGCTTTAGTGGCTGCATTTTGTGTGCTAGCAAGCATACTACCATAATGCTGTCTACAGCATCTCTGATGCAAAACTCCTAATTCCTTTCCAGTGTCTATCTCATATTTGTTAGTCTGACAGTAAAATGTCTTATGACTTTGAAGTTTGTGTCATGACTACATAGCCAGCATGTTTGTGCTGGTTGGTGAGATGTCTGATGTCTGTTGGAATGATTATTGTGTGGAATTATAATGGACTTTTCTTTCTGAGGACACAGAGAGTCTCTGTTCTCCATTAGATTCCTTCAGAAATTTTATATAGCCTAATACCCTGATATAATCTTTTCATCTATTAAACCCTTTGCTAAATTGAGAGAGCCTTGACTTAGAGTTTCAAAATTTGACATGGCTAGAGTAGAGATTACTGAAAGGCTGATTTAACTAGTAAGATCATACACACACATAAATATATGTGTATGAAGATGTAGAGGGGCTATTCTGGGTGGTAGTCTTATATTAGTTTAGAAAAAAACCTGTGCACATAAAAAAATCTCTTTAGACTGGTTAATATACTATCCTGAGTGAAAACTGGTTTCCTCCAAAATCTAATGGATCCTTCTAAGGTGACCTGCAGCTGGGAAAAAAATGGGAAAAAAATAACCAGTAGAAGACAACTGTTGCTGTTCTTCAGTTTTATCCAGGTTGCCCTAAAATACTTAAATGGAATAAATAAACTCAGTGCAGCCTACAGTTGTGTTTGTCGTGTGTTTGAAAATGCCCATTGTGCAAACAAACTCTGAGTCTTTGTAAGATATAGAGTGGTTTCAGTATGTCAGAGGGAAAGTGCTATGGAAATACTACATAGTGTTTATAAATTTATTGCAGTTTGAACAGGGCACGTGCTACATTTTGAACAAAGCCAAAGTTTATTTCTTAAATCCACGTTTCAATACTGATTCTATTTAATGTGACTATTTGCCTCTGTATATTATTTGGCAGTGCTTATCCAAGTCCTCTGTTGGCCCAGTCCATGCCTGGTACTTTGAGTCAAAAAAACTCTCTCTCATTAAAATAATTTTTTATTAAGGAGAATCTGATGAAAGTCAAACCTTAGTTGTAGTTTGATGTTTTCATTAGATAAGCAGACTGTTAGTGTCCAGTAGAGAGGAAACTCCTGAGTTTGTTTAGGGTAAGTGTAGTAGAATTCATGCATCTGTTGGTAAATTATTTTCTCCTGTCATACGAGAAGTATACTGTTAATTGCTGTTAAATCTCATGGGTAACTTGTGAAGCGGTGTGTAAAATGAGTGGGTCATTTCACAGCTAGCATATGAGCAAAAATAGACTCTGTGTCCAGTCGTTAATGAGATTTTTAGGGTTTTTTGTGAAGTCAGTTTTAATTTAACAATACTGCAAAAATAAAAGTCAGGATTCTTCAGAGTTATGTTATGAAAATAAAATTAATTGGAATATGATATTGCTTGAGTCTGATAAAAGGAATAAAATCGTTATTGATGGGTAAGTGGACTCACGGTTAATGAGATTTCCGTGTCTAATACACTTCCTATTAGGATTTTGATGATTTGACTGATTTTTGCACTTCCTTTTTTTTTATTTATTTATTAACAGCATGAAATTAAGGCAAATTGCAGTATTTTACTTCCAAATAACTAACTTTATTTTGCTGTGATGATGTTTAATCTATATCTTGTAAACTAAATTGTATCTGGGAATAATTTTCAAACACTGGTAAATTCTGTGTATAGAATGAATAGATTTTGTTGCTTGTTTGGAAGTCCTGGAATAAACTGATGGTGTATTTATTACATTATCAGACTTTCAGTTTCCTCTGTCACAGGTGTGCATCCGAAACTTGGAAGATGTTTTTCTTTGCAATACTGGCAAACAATTGTAGTCTGTCTCCATTATCAGTTTCTTACAGTTTAGGTAACTTGAAGCTAATTAGAATGGGGTTGTTAATATGTTGTTTCTCTACTTCAGGTTTATTTACTTTGCAAGTACTCATTAAAATATTTTTGCTGTTTCTGAGGGTGATTTGCAAGCAGTAAAGTCAGTGCAAGCAGTTTGTCAGTGTTAAGAATACATTTATTTTTTTTTAAGACTGTTACTAATTTTGAGAGCTGATAGTAAGAGATTAAGAAATACAGAGTCTTTGGACTGAGTCAAGTTATGGGACCTTGGAATTTGCATAGTCTTATGCTGAACTATAGATGCTTGAAGGCTGTTTCAGTGTTCCAGTGCAAACCCTATTCTTACAGAATTTTCAATCCAGTCAGTGGCCGCACCTATGGTTTACGGTCGTGCCAGAAAAGAAATGGATCCTATAACTTACACTGATTGGTACTAATATTTAAGAAAGGTCTATTGTTAGTGAACAGTGTGCTAATAAAATGAAAAAAACCCAAACATACATTAAGTAATGTACATATGTAAGGTTTTTTTACTATGTGGACTTTTTATTATTGGAAATCACTGTCCTTTTAACATGACACATATTTTAGGAGAACTGAGAGTTATGCCCCTTGTTTTTAGAGTATAGATGGATTTCAGTTTTCTTTATACTTAATTGCATGAAATATTTAAGGAAATAAAGAATTTGTCAGCAATGAAATTGACGTGAGTTAGCTAATCCCTCTGATGGTTGACAGTTGCTAGTTTGTATCAGTAGAGGCTCAGCCCCTATCTTTTATTTAAATAAAATTCAGGAGTATACATTACACATTATCCAGTAAATCAGTTGTCATACAGATTTGCTTCTTTTCACTGGAGATTATGCTTTTTCATCCTAGGACAAGAAGGACAAAGTCTCAAGATTTGACACTATACGTCATTCCATAGCTGGAATTATAAGGTCTCCAAAATCCATGTTGGGCTCCTCATCAGTAAGTAGTATCAATAATGTAGTGTTGTGATACAATCTCTTGTTTTTGCACCTTAAGTAGAATATTTTTTTTCTGAAACAACATTATTTCCATCTAAATCAACAAAAACAATGTTAAAATGGTGTTATAAAAACACTGTTCTGATTGATCAGCATACACAATAGTATCAGGACATAATGGTATGTCAGAACTACTTACTGCATGTCAGGAAAAAAAGAGAATTTGTTCTTTGCAGCTCCCAGACTGGTGCTACACTTCTAAGAGTGCTCTTCTCTGTGGGATGGATTTTCTGGAAAAGCACTGTAATGCAATTAGCTATAGTAGGTCAGATGGTCATACATGTTTTAACCATTGTTGCAATAACTATATTCCCCAAATTTGTTGTAAAGGCACCAGTGTGTAAGCATAGTATTATTATTATTACTACTACCGCTACTACTACTACTGGTAATATTTAAGTAACCAGGTATTATAGATCTTGCTTCAATCCCCACAAAAATGATTGTTGAGTGTCTTAGTTATAATTGCTTTTATTCAGATTCCCTAATAGTTGGAGAAACTTCCATGTTTCTTTTGCTTTTGCATTTCCTGTGTTTGTTTCATGTATAAGCTTGCAAGACCAGTTAGAGTACTTGAGCACCTACTTTAGGACCTGTCCAGTTTTACTTAGAAAACCTTCTTCCTGTTCTTTCTTGAGGTGGAAATGTGGTCATCTCAACTCTCCCAGCCAAGAAAACCCCCAAAGCATAAAAATCAAAGCCAAAAAAACTCAAACGAAAAACCTGACAAAGGAAAGAAGACCCAACAACAAAGTTGGGCAGAGTTTTAAAAACTGTTTAAAACCTGCCTTTTGATTGTGATCTTGCCACCTGAAATATTAGCTCAAAATAGCATTCCTGAGAAAATTTTAGAAGCAATGGATCTTTTATTTTATGCTCCAAGATTGTATCCAATGACTTATTAAAGGACACAGTAAACTGTACTTAAGTTGAACAATATTCAGAATGTGTGGAAGAAATTGCAATTGCATATATATCTATATAAATAAACATACATGTGTATAGAGAGTAAAACTGTGTCTAGTGATGAAGGAATGGAAAAATAAATATGATAATAAGATTAAATTAGGACAGGAAGGTTTTTCCTGTGAAAAATGTGAAAGTTGCATGACACATTGGAAAAGTAATGGGAAAAACCTAGCTGAAATATTAAAATATCCTTAGCAATAAATCTACTCATTATCATGATCTTTGTTTTATAAAAATTCTAATTGATGCAAAAATGCAGCTGTTCATAATGCAAGCCTATAAAAATGTATGTTCCTGACACCTCCGTTCTTCTGTAGGTGAGACATGACTTTGAACTTTGTTTATTTCTGTGTATTATAAATCTTAGGACTTTAAGAAAACCCCACAAACCACAAAACAAACCTGCCTAAAACTTCTTCAGAGAAAAATTGAAAGATAAATAAAATATGAAGAGGAGGATCAAGATAAAACATTTAGATTAAATCAGGGGAAGTCAATGTCAACATTTTCATTGGCTTAAAGTGTCATTTTAAATAAGCTAGGTGCCACATTTTGATTTTCATTCTAATCTATATCACTGTTAATTCTGTGGAAGTTGATGTAAACCTGGGTGTAGTTACATGGTAGGTATGATTGGTGAAACCTTGAAATGTGTTTGGTAGAAGTAAGATTGGCATTGAGTCATTTGAATCAGAAAGCAAAATCTGAGTAACAAGTGTAATCTTGGTTACCTGTCACTTAAAGGACACTTAAATGACTTCAGAGTCAGACTATATAAACCTATTAACTTTCAGTTTTGCTCTGTGTTTTGTTTTAATGATTTCTTGTGTGTTAGAAAAGCTAACCATGCATATACAGCTAAAATTCGCTTCACAAATTAGTATTTAGCTATTAATGTGATCAGCTGCTTGGCTATTTCCCGTTGACATAACCATGCTTAATTGCTAAATATATAAACTGGTACTTAAAAATTACTACTCATCAACAAAGTACATGAAGTGATTACTGAAGTTATATTATAAAATAATATTAACATACATAACAGAATTTATTGTTTTGTTTTGTTTTAAATAGACCAATATAAAAGAGGATCTCAAAGCAGATTTGGAAAAGGACTAGTACTGATCCTCTGATAGAGCGTAATCTGAATTGTGATGTTAACTACCTGTTTTCAAATTATATGTTCTAAGTATAAACAACTTTAGAAGAGGAGCAATATCTTCGTTTAAATGTAGTGCTATTCTTAAAACACTTTTCCATCTTTAATTGGTGGAATAAGTTGAATTTTCTTTGTTTGAATTAGAGAAAACTAATTTTTGTGTGTCATCTGAAAAAAAGTCATAGAGAAACCATGTAATTCCGAAAGCAGCCAGGAGTTTGTTACTTGTAAATCATTTCAGTGCTAACATATGTGTCCTCAGAATGAGAAGGTAAGGGGTAATACAGGAAAAAAAGTATAGTTTGAAGAGGCAACAGCAAGGTTAGGGATTCATGTGGTTTCTCTTGGACAAAATGCAAGCTAGTTTTCTCTAATAGCAAGAGATGTAAGTTTAGTCAAATGAGGAGAGAAAACACAACATGTTAAGGGGCAGCTTTCACATACCACTAATGAAGTGCTATGTATAAACTGAATGAAGAGTCTGAACAAATTGCATCATGAATGACAGCTTCTGCCCTTCTGTGTAATTTTGCTGGTACTGAGGCATTTGAGCTTGACACAAACATCTGTTACTGTTTATAGGATAAGGGTTTTATTGTTGATAAGATACTAGGGGGAATTAATGTTTGTTTCCTGTGGTATATTAGCATGTGAGAATGAGCCAGGTACACAGAGACTAAAAGCAGGATTTCTATAGTGATTGTCTCAAATTATCAGCCTAAATGCATTGCTTTACGTTCTCATTTGTGTCTGTGCCACTCTTTTACACTGTGAGAGAAAAAATATATTGAGAAAATATTTTGAGTTTTTTAAAGATTTGAAATAAGGAAATACAGAACATTTGCATTCAGAATATAAGTGAAAATACAATACCGAGCATACTGCTAGTTTAATAAAATTTTATCCCCATTATAATTTTTGTTTCATTGACAGTATAAGTACAGGAATAGTATATAATTTTTTGAGTTAGAAATAAGACTGCTGTTTGCTTATTTTTTCTCTTGAACAAGGGTGGAGGCTGGTGCCTGCTCTGCTTTACTGTTGGAGAAAACATACTGCTTCAATGGATTGTTAAATAGGTAAAGAGAAGGGAGCTCACAATGAGTGAAGAGGACAGTACTAGATCCACTAGGAGCATGATGAAGTATATGAGTCCCTTTTACTCCTCTTGGAAAAAAAGTGTGATTAAATATGTAAGGGCACATCCCCCTTCCCCCAATAACCCATGGCAATGAGTAGAAGTCTTGAAGGAAAAAGGAGAAAAAAATAAAGAAGTGATTGGGAGGGAGAATAGAAATTTCACAGTGTGAGTTCCTTTCCTTCTGCATGATTTTGTTAATTGTTCATTTTTAGCTTCCAGCCAAATTAACAACAGAATCCAAGAGAAATATTTCTTCATTTAGGCTATTGATTCACAAACTGCTTCTGTAGAGTGTACATACATATGAGCAAGAGATCTCATCCCCCAAGTGAAATTGTAAAACATTAAGGTCTAGAATGTAAACTTGGTTTTTTGAGGTATTTTTAATTAGTCATATTAAGTTGCTTGTCAATATTTATTATCAGTAGATTTTAAAGAAAAGAGATGGGAATTTTATTTTGTGCAGGTAGCTTTTCCCCCTCTATTTTCCTTGAGGGCTAACCTTCCATTTAAATCTAACTGTAAAATGCAGTGGTAATATTAGCACTAACAGTGGTGTCAGTTGTGTTGAAATCAATATAAAAATGGTTAATGTCTTGCATTTGTACTGTTCTTTCTGGGCTTTCAGCCATGTTTTATTTCATAGCCAGTCGGTGAATATTATATCATACAGGAAATATGCTGAAGTCAGAAAACTTGTTCATAAAAATAATGCTTTTTTAGTAACACTCAGAACATGAGTAATTAGCACTGACTTCATCAGAAGAACCACCTTGATTATGATTGTCCCATTGTATATGACAAAAAGTAAAGGTAATGTAAGGTAGGAGACAATGAAGAGAGGAAACTTTGTGGAATTTTCATGGTTTCCTTCTAAAGGAATAAATATTAATTTAATCACGTTTAAAGGAGAGGGAAGATTAAAGATGGTGTCACAGACAGCACAATAGTTGCAAATGGCTAAAATGCTCTGATTTAGTTCCATAAGTTCTTTCTCAGTGATAAAGGCTTTTAAGATTCTGGGATGTGATCATGGTTCTCTGAATAGTGTCTCAGCCTGCAACCGAGTTTGTACATAAGCAGGTGTTCTTATTCATTCAGTGGCTTCCTTTTTAGTAAGCTATAAAATCAATTGCATGTCAGATTTATTTTTTTAACCTACCTTTGTGAAGACCTTGAAGTAGTTTAGTGTCCCTGAACTGTCCTTTTATCCTTAGAAACATTTCAAGTAGAAATGGGTTTCTGTGGTGAAGGGTTTGCTACTCTGAACCCCTGGACATAACAGAGGTTTGAGTTTTCTGTCAAGTCAAACTTGGTGTCTTTGAGCAGTAAATGTTCGAGTAAATAACACTGTCTAACATTAGAAAGCTTATTTTTTCTTTCAGGAATTTCAAAAAGAAAATTACTTACTATCATTTCACAGTGACAGACAGGTCTCATCTGATACGTATTTAACTGTTGATGAATTTGAAATACATGACTACCTTCCTGGCCAGTCAATATCTCTGCTTTTTAGTAGTTCACTATGCTGATAAACACAGAACCTTGGAGTACACCTTTTGCTCCTAAAAACTCTGATTGTGCACTTTGTGTTCGAGCTGTTGTTTTTTCTTGCATAATCCTTTCTATTGCTGAATCTGAAATGGAGCAACCCACTCTTTGTAGTGGTGAGTCTGTTGGTTATAGTGCTAGCTTCAAATCTCATGCCTCAAATTCTCCTTGGTGAGAATTTCGTCAATGATGATTCTCCCAATATGTCTGTTGATTTGCTTATGTCTGAGAATACAAGATTCTGTCAGACCCTCAAATATGTGCTCCAGTTTTCTGTAAGGATCCTGGAGTAAACTACTCCTTTTAGGTATTACTTAGAAGAGCAGCCAGGCACCCACAAAGGCATTTTTTATATCAGAAATTTTATGAAAGTGCTAAAGAACTGCAGATATTCAGAAACAAGAATTTCTAACCCAGTTGTCTTTCTGAGGTCTACTTGTTCCCACTCTGGGAACCTGAGTGTGTTTTGAGCTAGGTAAGGCATCATAACCCAAGTATCTCCTGACAAAGACCTTAAATGTGCAGATAAGACTCCGACATGGCCATAGCTGCACCATGTCAAATTTTTCTGTTGCATGCACCAATGAATTGTTTCTTTTCTCTTTGCCCATGCCTATAGGGGAAATACTGCATCATCTTTGATGTTAGAGTGAAAAGCCTGTTTTTTCATCAGTGCAGGGCAGTAGGAGAGGTTAATTCAGAATGGTGTGCTTTGTTTTTGTCCTTTTCATTGTCATTCATTGAAGTGTGGATCTTCATGCTGTTACCTAAATGCAGTTCAGCAGACTTGCCCAGGACACATTCTTAACTCACAATGCAGTATGCACAGCATTATGTTGTTCAGAGCTTTACCACTCTGGCTGAGAGAATTTCTGTGAGCTCTGGCAATGGTTTTTATGATGCACAGGTTAAGCAATGGTTTGTCTGCAGACCCATCACAAATAAATCTGAAGTGGTCATTGACAAAATATAAAGTTTTCCTCAGTGTTTTCTTAAAATATGTAAGCAAGTTAAAATTAATGTCTGAAATCATAGCTTAAAACTTAACTACTATTTATAGCCAGTGAAAAGAATTTCTTACTATCTTTGTGTCTTCAGAAACTCTATCATAGAGTTCATAGGGACAGTACACTCGGGTGTATATTCTACACTACAGTGTACATGCTAGGAAAAATGTCTCATACTTACTAATTGATTTGGGGTGCAATTGATAAATTCTGTGAAACAGTTTATTCAATTCAAATGCTTTGTATAAATCAGTTGATTATGTTTTAGTGTTTGAGAAGTTTCTGTCTGGGTAAATAAAGGATTAATTTTCAGGTGTTAATATTATATCAGAATGTGTGAGAAAGCATTGGTTGGTGTGGCAGAAAAATAGCAGGCAAAGTGAAATCTATTCATGGTTTTATGGATGTTTCCATAAACTTTTGCTTTTGATATGTTAATATTTCAGGTAATAAAAAAGAAGGTGATCAGTATGCCTTTTGTATAAGCGTAAGAGTCTTGTATAAATGTAAGAGCCTTGATTTCGTTTGTTAATAGAAATATGCAATTTAGATACAGAAATAGTAATTATTGTTGGTTTTTATACTTTTCATGTAAAAATAAACTCTAAAAAATGTACTGTGATAGTAACATTTGTCTTCAATATTTTTCCCAAGTTCTTTGATGTAATCTCAACCACTGAGAAACCATTGGCTGAGCAAGAGTGGTATCATGGTGCAATTCCAAGAATAGAAGCCCAGGAGCTGTTAAAACAGCAAGGAGACTTCTTGGTGCGAGAGAGCCACGGGAAACCTGGTGAATATGTCCTTTCTGTGTTTTCAGATGGACAACGGAGACACTTTATCATACAATATGCTGATGTACGTCTCTGATATAGTACTGCATATTCAATTTAGGATCCACATAGTTTACTCTAGCAAATAGATTTAGCCTTTATATGAAACTATGAAAGCTGTTGGACATATTTCCATCAGGGGAAACGGTAATTTTAGGACACAAGGGGAAAATATGAAATATCAGGTTATTCAGCATCTTATTTTGAAAAGCCAAGATATTTCTGTAAATGTTTTGAAATCCAGAAATTGTTACTACTCATTTATTTATTTATTTTTAAACCCATTTTTTGCAGTTGATGCTAAATATTGAATCTTTCTAAAAACTGAAGACAGTTACGGAGAAGAAAATAATCTATGTAGGGTTTTATGCTGTTGGGGATTGAAGTCCTGATGCACTAGAGATGCTTATGTTCTTTTTAGCCCTATGCTTATTGTTTTGTTCAGTATAACACAAACGCTTGTGGATGTTGCATAGCATATATGCTTCTAAGGACCAGAATTGACCCCCTTGTACTCTAACTTGACTAACACTATATTAATTGTTATATGCCTTTATCCAGTGTATTTCTTTTTATTCTTATTATTGAACTGCTTTTTTTTAATATGTGTATTTTTTTTTACCTTTCAGAATTTTAAACTTACTCAAAATATGACAGTGCCCATAAAATTGCTAGAAATTTTTGTTGAAGTATGATATTACAGCAAATCTTTCTCAGTTTTGATTCAGTAATGTTGCCTTTTCAGTTTCTTGTAATAAAGTTTCCCACATATAGAAAATACACAAATTGAATCACATAGTGATATTTACGCTGTCCAAATCCCCAGCAGATGTGGCATGTCTGGGGGAACTCAATATTGTGTTCCTGCTTTATTTCCTTTTAATGAGAGTCAGTGATACTTTTCAAACTTCATAGAGGTTGGAAGGCTTCTACAGGATCAATGATTTCAGACAATTACCATGCTGGAGTGTTCATTAATTCTCACCCAGAGTTTTCGTTGTAGAAGTGAATGTTTCCACATATCAGTGTTTATTTTATTTTGATTTTATGACCTTAAAGGATTTTGGTGTGTCAGACTGCTGAATGAGAAAATCAGAGCAATAAAATGACCTGTACCTAGACACACAGGGTCTTAGATGATGCTTGGTGCTCTCTGACCTGACCCAGCAGAAATAAGTGCACATTGTATACTTAGTGTGACTGAAATAGTTTTGCATAAATCATTTTATGTGGCAAGTAGACCTTCAGAAAGATAGATTGTTCCTTCAAATCCAAGTATTACTTTAAGGCATACCTGTAAGCTGGCTCTTTCTTTGTACTGGGGATTTTCTACAAAAAAGGGCTATCTTTATCAACATAATTGCACTACTTTGTCTTAGCAATTATATTTGAAATGGAAGTCTAATATTGTTTAATATTGCATAACTTGAACAATCCAAACATTGTCAGGTCAATAGATCTACCTGCTTGTACATTTACTAATATTAGATCTGCTCTTGGGATTCATTTGTGGCATTTCTTCTGGGAAGAGCTCTCTAACTGTAGATGCTGTGTCTTGTGTAAGCACTAGACTTTATCCTATTTCAGAATCAGCTGCAGTGTCTTGCCCATCTTCTCTCTGAATCATATGCATGACCTGCTTTGTCTTTAGATGCTTTAGACCCTTCTGCTATATACTCCTTGTTAAAAACCAATCATGCATTATATACTCTGTGCCAGGAATATATTAATTTTATAAAACATTATAAATGCAGTAAGATCAGATAACATAGCATTACTTACTCCTGTTTGTTTTATTGTCAGATTTTTTACTTGCTTTTTGTAATGCTTAGAATTGAAGTAATTCAGAAGTTAGTGTTGTTTTTTTCTGGTTTAGAATAAGTTTATTTCGCTCTGTCAGTTTTAAATTTAACTGTCCCTATCTATTTAAATTAAGAGTTTAAATAGACATTGTTTTATCATGGTGCCTTAAATGAGTGATGCAGTAATTTTGCATTTAATAATTTATCATCTTCCTAACTATCATTCCATTTAAGTCAGTAGAAATGCTATTCAATAGATCAGAAAAATAATTCCATAAAAGTGAACATTTCTTTGTTTGGTTACTATTGAGAGAAGTTTGGTGATGTGGTTTTGCAGTTTCTTGTTCAAAATCGTCTTTGTAGAGAAATAATTATTTCCTTTTACCTCCATACAGAATCAATATCGTTTTGAAGGAACTGGGTTTCCAACTATTCCTCAGCTCATAGAGCATCATTACACAACAAAGCAGGTTATTACAAAGAAATCAGGTGTCGTTCTGCTGAATCCTGTTGTTAAGGTAATACATACATTCCAAGAACTCTATTTAACTGAAAATAATTTGGAGGGATTTCTGTTGTTATTTAAATTATGGTCCTATGCAACTTCTCAGAATATTTTTCTTTTTTGTTCATTTTGCAACTCTTTTTCTGAGTTTTTTCAGCCTTCTCAGCTCTGTGCAATACACTCATTTTAATTAACTCTCCATATGGATTCTTAAAATAAATTTTTGCTATCTTGAAAGAATGGCATTCAACATCTTACAACATATCCTCCTACTTTTCTTTTTGGTTTCCCATTTGGATTTCACAAGTAAGTAATTGAAAATAGTAGTTCATTGCCCTTACTTTCATAAGGGAAGGAATTTCTTTTATGTTCTCTTAAGTGGTGAAGGTCTTACGAAATTTAGATGACTCCATTTTGATCTGTGTTTTATGTCTCAAAAATAAATTATACCGACATAGAAAAAGGTGCTGTCATTCCCGCATCTTTGAAAATTTTGAATAAACATTCCTTTTTCAAGCAGTAAACTATTGCAGAAATTCTTTTGGGATGGAAACAAAAAGGGATAAGTATTAAACTATATCAGTGGTTTTAAGAAGCTTGACTTCTTCCAGTAGTTTTGCAGTTAGTACCTACTTAGTTAATATTAAGTATGGATAAGCCTTTTGTTCCTGATTATTTTTTTTAAAGACTGGTTTCAAGCTTGTGTTCAACAAGATTTTAGGAAGCATGACTATTCATATTTCAGAGTCCTAGTTCAGGATCCTACTTCTTTTCTGCTAATAATTCTAAGATAGTAAAGCATGTTCTTTTTCTCGAAATTACACTTACCTGTCTTAACTGTTTTATATAATTTTAAGAATGGGGCATTGTAAATGCACATTTTACATTAACGTCTTAATGATTATCAAACTGATGTTTTATCAAGCACAAAATATTGCTTTCGTTCATTGTAAAACATGAGGAAGCATAGGACGTTGTGAATAATTGCATTTTGATATAAATGGTAAAGTAATAGTAAGGTTGTCCATGGTAATGCTGACTATTAGTGCTAAGAAGAGTACTGAGTGACAGGAAACTTTTGTTGTGTAGGTTTTTTTAACTATACATATTTATTATATATGTTGTATGTAGGCTTTCAAGACTGTGTGAAATAGGATGTGTGTCTGATAGCTACTAATACTAAACTAAACCCAGTATGTAGTGTACTTACTGCTTCATGACAAACTATTCGAACTAAGTGAGAAAAGGGTGTTTTGATTTGTTTTGAATTGCTTAGAGCAGCTGTTTTCAAAAATGTTTAAATTATTTTGGTTTGTAATAGCTTTTGGTTTGAGCTATGATTTTATGGTGATTTTAGTACTCCATTCTCATAAGAACTACTTATATTCTGAAAAAGTATTTCACAATGAAGGAAAAGAGTGTTGTGAGCTTTCCTTTTTAATTTGCATGAACCTCTGCCTTTCATATGGGAAAGTGGAGACATTTTAAGTTGTTTGAAAGTGGCATATGCACTCTGACACCTAATTTATGCATCATGTGGTATTGCCAAAATGTCTTTGATCATTTCCTTAAAATTCATTTGACATCTGCAAAGACTGTATTTTCTTTGTTCCCATTATAGCTGCAGAGCAGCCTTTGTCATTTCACACAATCTTTACTCTTTTCATGAAGATTGCTGCCACTGTAATAACATATTTAGAAACTGCAAGTTAAATATGTCAGAGAACTTAACAGAAAAAAAAAAAGTGATGCTTTGTAGTTTGTTTTTGCTTTCCTTCCCACAGTCATTCTTCCTCCTTTATCATATTAGTAGAATTAGCGTTCACCTTGTGTGATGTTGCCCTTGAAAGGAACAGTCTTGGTTGTGTCACAAAAGGCCTGTCCCATGTCCCATTTCATATAGAACAAATCTGCCTGCTTGGAATTTTAATGATACTGTAATAATAGAATTTAAATTAGAAAAACTGAGGACATTAAAAACATATCTGGAAGTGAGTTTTTTAATGGAAAAGTCCCTCATATTTATTTATAATCTTTTAGAAAAAATGCAGAATACATTCTTCAGTTTATTACTGATAGACTGACTGGTATTTAAAGCCCCTGTGTAACCTCAGTGCATACCCAAGGACTTTATTAGTAAAAATGCTGTTTTAACCTTATTAGGTATATTTAAACTTTTTAGCATCTTTGACCTCATGTCGTGGAGGTTTGTAAATTTTTAAAATTTTTTTTATGTTTACAAAATCTGTATTAAATTGTGAATATGCTTCAGGTTGACTACCAGAAAAGAGAGTCATCAAGAAATGAAAGAGTACAATTTTTATCTATGTATATCTGCATTAATGTTTTCACTTGGATCAGAAATACACCTTTGAAGCCAGTCTGCCCAGTGCCATTAGGATGCTATGCCTCCACCATTGAGCAGTCCTGAGGACTTGAACTTTCAGCAGAAACAAAATATGAAGATGCACAACTTCTCATTGGAGGGAGTTCAGTTTTCAGAACCTGGAAAGATCTAGCATGAAATACTGCTTTTCCCCCACATACATGTTTCAGGAGCCTGAAGCACTAACTGATTAACTCTGAAGATCTGGTACTATTTCACTAGTTCTATTCTAGTCCTAGTCTTTGGAACCTCTTTAGTAAATTTGAATTCTTTGCTTATAAAAATAAATTAACTGCGCTGTGTCAGATGAGTTAGACTGTGTGTTCATTGCTAGTAACTTTCATTTTCAAATTCTGGATCTATTTTTACATGGCAAAGAGGCCTGTGATTGTACATGAGAAAATGTAAATGTTGAGATGAATGAAAAGTGTTAAAAGCAAAAACAATTCATAGTAGTGGTTCTGATGTTGATAAATAAGTTTGTGAATGACATGAGAATTCCATGCAGATCTGATGTTGTCTTAGAAGATATGAGTATGGTAATGACTTAGACATGGAAAGAAATTATGAGGAAATATAAATTTAAGTGAATACATGGAGAGATTCTTTTCATGAAAATCTGACGACCTGAAGTTTTCACCAGTTTAAGCACTAGTTTGTATTTAGAAGTCTTTGAGCTCAGCTTTCTAATATGAGAAGCATAAATAATCTATCTGCTCCATGTTTCAGCTTCTTAGTATTATCACCGAACTAACACTTAGCCCTTTAACAATTAGTTAAAATATCCATGCAAAGGTAACCAAAAGGTGTTTTCCAGACTTTTGACTCCCCTTAGTGTTAGTTGGTTTTGCTGGTGTTCTGTTTGGGCTTGCTTCATTTTGCCAAAGCAAGCTGAAGTTCACTGTTGCAGATAGTGCATATGCTCATGGTGCAGGTAGCAAGGCAGATGTGGAGGACTTGAAGGAAGCTCCTGAATGGTCTTGGTTTCAGCCAAGCCTTCCTATGCTTCTGGGAGACACAGAGAAGCAAAGAGACTTAGGAAGGAGGCTGTCAAGTTTATCACAAATTAATCCTGCTACACAGTTAGAGATTCTCATCTTGTGGCAGGAAAGAATTAAGATGCTGAACAGGGAAACAATGGCAGTAATGTTGCTGCCTTTGGGGAAGATCATCTGTCTTTGGGGAAGATCATTTTGTTTGACCTGAGGACAACTGTTCAGGAGCAGAAGTCTCAGGTGAAAGGAAAAAGCAGCCTAGAGCAGTGAGCAATTAGAGCTGTTTCGTGGCTAGATTTATAGCTCCAAAAAGGATATCATGTGGCACGCTGAACTGCCTGCATGATACCCAAGTGTTTGGCCAGGCATTCTGTAGGAATGCTGAGAAGCACATTGGGGCCTTGGTCTCTGTGTGTTGATTTCTGGCCTAATGCTGTAATTCTCATGAGTGTGATTAAAGTCATTTACATACAGGCAGCTTTAAGTGTTAAAGTATATATTTAATTTTCTTTAGGGAAGTTGAATACACAATGAGAAGTGAGTTTTTATAATATGTAAAAAATATACTTGTAGAAAATGACGATTTCTTGCATATGCATGAAATCAAACAATAGCCTGCAGCTGTTGACATCAGATAAGTGTTTTATATCTTGAAACTAGAGATACATTTCAGTTTTGTTCCTATTTTCTCAGAATTTAAAGAAATGTTACAGGTTTGTTTTTAAGGTTTTGTAGCAGAAATGGTTGCAATATATCTGTCAGGTAACAAAAGGAATGTATTGTCTGTAATGATGACCTGTACTTGTCAAGGGGTGGCCTCCAGTTCAGTAAAGAGCAAAAGGAGAGTAATTTGCTCTTTGTGCTAACAAAGTGCTAAACCGAATTATGTATGATTTCAGGTATATTGACTACTTTCAATTTTGAAAAGATTTCTTTTCTCAAAAAATCTCATATAAATCTATTGTAATAATGGAGGCACATAATGCTACCTGAACAGAGTAACAATGATTGCTTTATATGCAGTGATTAAAGCTTTTTGCAGCCTTTTTTTTCCCTGAAGGCCGTGGCATTATACATCTGCTCTAATGAATGTTTCTAGTTCAGTCTTCTCTTTATGGTATTTCTTGGTTATGGTTGAGTAACTTTAGTGTTCCCTAAATCTACTAAGGTTTCCAATCTCTATAGTTTTTTAGCCTTTTTTTTACCTCTCTTACATCCTAAGGTGAAAAGCATTGACCAAATTTGCTATAGATACTGCTTTCTGAACTAGCAAGGGTAAATGTGACAGAGAACATGAGGTAACTAGACAGTGATAATAACATAGAAGTCCTTAGACGACTTCTTGTGTTAGAACCCCATCAGGGTTTTTTCATTCTTCTTCTTTTGCAAATCTTGCTTTGGAGTTTGCATAAGAAAATTGTGTTTCTTTGGTGGTTCTCTGAAACTGAATATAAGCACAGGTGGCATTTTCTTTTAATCCCTTTTTCTCTCGTATTAGAAATGCTAAGATTTTCAGAACTGAGTGTTTCAGCCGAGGCTCATGAATGTGTGTTTAATTCCCAAAATATCTGTTTTAAAAAGTTTAGTATCTAATTGCCTTACTGCTGGTTGTTAATTTGAAAAAGTGCTGGT